TACTCTAAATCTAAAAGAAGTAAGAGAAAGGCGTGAAATTGATATATTGTGGGCATTCGGCATGTCACACACATGATCGATGTGTCTTCTCAACTCATGTCAAATATCTCAAAACAGTGCAATCTGAACTTGGCAGAATGTTCCTTATACAGCTTGTCGAATACACTACATTGATAGTGACATATATTTCTCTTAATATGACAATTATTGTACTATTGAGATACTAGCGATTTACACTCGCTTCGCTCGGGTGTGTAAAAATATAACTTTATAATAAAACATTTTGATAAAAACTATAAGATGGAAAAAATTGAAAAAGTGTTTTTTTTTTACCTAAGTATATGTTTTAAGAGGAAACCTAAGAAGGTACCTAGAAATATCCTTCTGTCACTTCAGGTCATCTTTCTGTGGACTAAATTTTATAACACATGCATACATACACAGCCAGACACATACACCCACATATATGTATATGTATAATATATATACACATATATGTATAAACTTTTATATATATATATATATATATATATATACATATATATATATATATATATATATCTGATGATGATCGTCCTATATTATTAATCTGACTACAGCAAGTAAAAAGTATAGGTGTATGTTTGTAATGTAAGCATTTATATATATTATTGTGTATTGTTTTTTTGTGACTTTACAAGGAGAAACATAATTTGGTTGTTTTTAATATGTTTTTATGGACAAAAAAATAATTACATTTATAACATTTACATAATATGAAAAAAATTATAATGCAAATTAACATTATTTTTGTAATATTATTATTAGGGATTTATTTGTATCGCTTGTACACACTAATAAATAACTAGACAATGTACAAAAGATGCATTATCTAAAAGGTTATTTATCTGGTGAGGCCGAAAAAGCTGCTCAGACAGATACCTATAATGTATGTATGTATGTAATAATATTATTATCCATTGAATATTGTGTAAGAAATAATATTTTGTAAATTTTTTTTATTGAAATCATTTTCAACATTTCAAAAGTCTATTACAATGGCAGTGTATTTACTGAATAGCATGGAAGGCAAGGACGTATCTTAATAATTGCATAATAAAAGATAATTTCATGGCGGTCCATTCATTGTGAAATAACTAAATACCTAGTTAAGCTCGTTTAAACAAAAAACGGTCTTTCAACAAAGTAATCTCCTCGTATTTAATCAGTAAAAATTATAAAGAATTTCTTAATAGATTAACGAGTCTCTTTTGGTCCAACCCGGGACTCGAACCTACGATACTGCCATACTCGCTTGTGGCGACCAGCAAGTGTATATATAAAATACACACAAAGATGAACTATCTTATCTCTTCTAAACATTTAAATTATTCTACAGCAAATTGAGTACGTCGCACGCACAAGGCGCCTTACATTTGGTACGGAGCCAACTCTGTGACAGAGGCAGCGAATATTAAATTAATGCATACTTGTATGATACTATAAACGTTATTTACGGACAAGGTTAATGGGATGAACCGTGGTAAGCATATCCTGGGGAGACTAGCTTTCGCTTCCGGTTTTACTCAGGAAATTATTTATAATTTAACACATATGAAAAAAGTTCCCGGAGCATCTGTCTTTCTGTCTGTACATATATATGTACGCGATAATATGGGTAATGGATGAATGAATTTAGAAGTTATTTCATTCTGTTACTATCTACATTTCTATAGAAATAATGTTATATATTTTAAATTGCACGAATGCATATTAGCGTAGTGGTTTGCTTAATGATTAATAACAACTTAAACTTTTCGAGTAGCTTCCTGTTAGTAATAAGTTTTAGATAATCAACATTTCGACTTGTTCCGTATTAAACCGTAACTGTATCTACCACTATCAAACTTTCGTAGAAAGAAAAGTTGGGCGTCTCGTCAAAATAAAGCTACTCGTGAAGTTTTAGCTTGTTATTAATTTTTATTTGTCATGGCATTAATCATTAAAAATCCCCCGTTAGGGACTGTAGACTATAGGAGCGATTTCAGTAGGCAGAAAAATAAAAATTTGAAATATAAACTATCAGTGCTTATAAAAATGTTCTAAATTCTCAAAAAGGCTCTTTATAGTATATCATTTAATTAGATGTGAATCAAGAAAACGGAAAATAAAGCGTGACCTGTGCACAAGAGTACCTAGTATCTACATAAAGAGTTTTGGTCTTGCCGTATATTAGCACCTTCACGTAAACTCTCTTTTATCGTAGTCTTCCACACACATAAATCGGCACATATGGATATCCTATAATATAGGTAACCATCATGATATTTATACCATAGCAACCTCGTATGGAGGTAGAGCAGGTTTACATCCTGCATAACTTAGTAAAAAAAAAAAATTACAAGCCGCCATGTATGTATGTATATTAAATACTATGCTATTTAAACCAAAACATCCAAACATTTACCCAGACGATGGAGCGTACTAAAACCCGCAGTATTTATATATGCTATATATTTATATGTTATGTTTATATATTATTTCTGTAGACTTGACCGATATTTCTTTGCGGTAATGAGGAACAGCGTAAACGTTGAGAGCACTCGTCGTTATTTTAATGAAACTCACAGCGTAAACTAAAATGTAACGAATGTCGGTATTTATCCTACGGTCTCAGAAGTCTAAAGCTTTGCTTAGATTTAGTCATAATCTAAAACATACTAAAAAAGTTTTTACGTTAGAGTATTATCTATACATATAATAAAATTGTAACGAATCTGTACATTAAATCTTATTGAAATAGACATTATTCTCGATACAGAGTCCGATTCTATAGTTTTTAGAATTTTTGCCTGTCTGTTTGTCTGTCTGTCCGTCCGTCCGTCCGTCCGTCCGTCCGTCCGTCCGTCCGTCCGTCCGTCCGTCCGTCCGTCCGTCCGTCCGTCCGTCCGTCCGTCCGTCCGTCCGTCCGTCCGTCCGTCCGCCCGCCCGCCCGCCCGTCCGTACAGATTTTGATGAAATTTAGTATGATGATAGCTGTTTATCCGGGTCAACATATAGGATACTTTTTACCGCGGGAAAATATCTCATTTCTGATAAAAAATACAAAAACTGCATTGTATGAGTATACTAATATGTAAAACCTAAGAATTTGGTTTTTGGTCATCTGGACGCGGACGGGGCGGCGGGCAATGATAGTTGTACAATAAATGAATTTTTAAGAAAAAGAATTTAAATATTTCTATGGTCCCTCTTTCGGTACAATTTTCAGAACTGAGAAACTTTTCCCAAGTGGTGGTAGATTTTGACTTGGATTGAAATAGTGATATGTACTATATAGTTACTATACCATATCTTGGACTTTGACTTACCATTAAATAATATGCTTTATCTTACTTTCTTCAAACCTAGGAAAAGGAACCTTTTCTGTTCTGTTGTTTTTATAGCGACCACGTTAATGAACCTACAGATGTTTTTATACGCTCCACAGCTGGTATTTATATTCCATTAACAACGTTGGCCAAGAGCGATTTTACATATATCTAAAATTAAACGATCTTTTCAGATTTTTTCTTGGATTTATATTGTTTTTAGATCCCGACTTTAAATATGCTTTACAGCAATCACAAACATAGGAGAGACTAATGAGATGTTTGCTGTAAATCATTCGAAATGTGGGGAATCAAAAACCGAAATAAACCTGCAAAAAAAGTTAGTTTTACATTTTAAAAAGTATTATTTAGTTCTCTCAGATATGTAGGTTTCTTTACAATGTTTTTTTACAGTAAAGCGAGTCGTAATTATGTGGAAAATGATTCGCAAATGCAAATATCAGAACTCGTACCTCTGACCTAAGTTTAAACCACTAAGCACCTCTGCCTCCACATCCAAAATTGATTCAATTGAAATTATTATTATATGGGTGTCTTCAAGGCAGGAGTGAATAGGTAGCTACTGAATTAGTGCGACTTACCATCAATGACTGCGCTACCACTTACCATCAGGTAGAACGTAGTCAAGCACTAATTCAGATTGGAATAAAAAAAAAATATCTTAATGAAAAACCCTTTAATTTGTTAATATATTTAATAAATATTTTCCCTAAAAGAAAACGATTGCCGTTCAATAATTAAATAGTTGTCGTCCATGAGAATAAAATCCGCTTTATCAAATTTAGTTATTGGACGTGTTTTAAATTTGCAATACGGTTTGATTTATTCATGTAACATGGCACGATCAAATGCGTACAATTTTTAGTGTTGTACCTAAATATTATATGTTGCTTAATTCTTTTTGCCCGATTCAAATAAAAATAACAAAAACCCATCTTTTAACGTTTAAATTTTGTAGCTAACCAATGAGTCTGTCAAGTACAAAAACTATAAACTTTATGAATATATTAATAAATACTTTGAAGAAGACAACGTAAGCACTAAGTCAAATGAATAATTTTGAATATTTAAAAGCTTAACTGTTCTACAATATAACAATTGGTACAAAGGGCCTAACTTTGAGAGCTTGGTGTAAATTGTTAAATATTTAATAATAATGTTTAAATTATGTTTGATTACTTGAATAAATTGAAATAAGTCATTAAAATATATTCAAATTAGTCATTAAAATACAGACATACGTTTAAGTTATATTTTATTAAAATAAAAGTCCACAAAGAAAATATATTGTAAGCACTAAAGTTTCTCTTTGTCTCATTGAAAGTGAATTTCACATAGACCGAGATAATATTGTTTGGTTATTTTTTTGCTATAAAGATCAAAATAATTTTTTATCTCATATCTCCCTACCCCAATGTGACCTTTTAACGTCCCACTGCTGGGCATGGGCTTCTCTCCCATTGAAAATTGCAAGAAGGATCAAGCCATAGTGGTGCCTGGTTGGTGGACTTCACATGTCTTTTGAAAACTTGCTAGGTTCTCTTAGACATGCAGGTTTCCTCACGATATTTTCCTTTGCTGTAATACAAATGTTAATCATGTTGAAAATAAATTTATAGGCAAGTTTTATTTAATAATAGTGTTTCCAAGATACAGCTTGAATTGTATATTCTGCACGCTTTTACACAAAGCACTTATATCAAGTGGCAGCGCGTTGAATAGACACACGCGAGCAGACAAAACACACTTGAAATTCTTTTATTTCTTAAAAATATCAATTTATTACACCTTTATTATTTACAATAAAATAATTAAGTAAAAAAAAACTTTACCTTAGTGGGACGAGTATTCAAGCTGTCTTTGTGGAACATTCTTGAGGAACCTCCTCCTCCGTTAGGAACAATGACTCCAGGATCCGATTCTGAACCAACAGTCATACGAGAACCTCTTAAAGTCATTGCTGAAAGTTTTTGATATTGTTCTGTAAACCGGTACGACTATCAGTATGGGCTAACCATTTTATGGGTTTGCTTCAAAATATCCAATCAATTTTTCTTTTAGTATTATCATCAAATGTAATAATGACGCAAACAATCGGCTACTAAACGTTAATCGATAACAAGGTCTACTGAAGTCAATATATGTATCTATTGTAATAGAGTAAGCTATGTAGAGTATGTAATATCTCATAATGTTTCTTATCTTGATAACTTTATTCATATTTCCACAGCCAAAACCCTCAGTTTTCCTTAAATTACTGTCGAACTTTAGCCATGATATTAATAAAACACAGGATAAGGTAGCCAGCACAATTACAGGCAAAAGGTATATCACCTTAGTCCTCACAGTGACAACGCACCTGCGGTTCTGTATTTTTGTAACATAAAACCTAAGTGCATGAACCATCATAGGTGCTATGGGCGACAGGTACCTCTTTCCATCAGGTGGGCTGTCTGCTTGTTTGTCACTGAACATCATAAAAAACATTAACATAGAAAAAAAAATCTAAAATTGCATTCTCTATGGTATACAAAATACAAATACGAATTTAGATTGCGTACGTATGGACGAATATAATAAAAAAATTGTGAGTAGATAAGGAAGATTGTATGACATACCGACACATAAGAGTTAAATTCGGTAAGAATAACTTACATTCTGGCTTAATAATACAATATTTTTTTTATATTTTGCTATACTATAAATATGTGAATCAATTTTTTCACTAGTTACTCATAATATATATAGGACATAAAAAGTAACGATAGTTGAAACATCCCTTATTATGTACCTACTTAATTATATTGGGCGCTTCGGTGCCACGTTGTACCATTTAGTGATAATATTTTACGCAGATATAAAAATACAGTAGAATAATATTTTGTAATAATATTTATAAAGATTTAATCTACAATTGCACCTCAGAGATTTTCATTTGAGTATCTCATTTTTAACATGTTAGCCCTTCGCTTATTTTATACTAGCAGAACCCGCGGCTTCGCTCGCGCTAAAACTACAAAAAAAAAACTCTGAAAAGGTAGTTTCATACAAACTTTCATCCCCTATTTTACCCTCTTATAGGATGAATTTGGAAAACTGCTAAACTACGTATTTATTTAATTTCATTGAAGAGTATTAATACCAAGTTTCAAGTAATTCTGATCATAAATATTTTTTTGGATTGTATTATAACATGTTCCTGTTGGAATTAGGTGATCTCCCGCGGTAAAAAGTAGTCTATGTCACTCTCCTGCCCTCCAACTATCTCCACACAAAAAATCAGACAGAAATCAGAGAGAAGGACAAACAAACACACTTTCACATTTATAATATTAGTATGGATGACAATGTAAAACGTTTCTGACAGAATCTGGCTAGATTTCGGGAAAGTCTGCATTTAGCTGGTGTTTTTTCAGCCTTTTCTTATCCTCTAGCCATGTAGTGGGATTGCAAACAATAGAAAATTAAAAATTAAAAATATCCCCCACGCTAATTAATTGTCAGTTGACGATTACACTGGCACACGTGAAGCACTTAATCAAGTAATCATACGCCAAAATGCCTTACATCATTTTAGAAAAAAACTGTTACTCTTACACTGCTGGACCGATATTAACCAAACCAAGCTAAGAACCACCGCAAGGAAACTGGCTTTCAAATGAAAAAAAACGCATCGAAATCGGTCCATCCGTTTGACAGCTACGATGTAACACACAGACAGACAGACATCGACGTCAAACTTATAAACCCCTCTTTTTGGGTCGGGAGTTAAAAAAGGTATTGAAACGTTTTGTCTTTGCCTATTCATATATAGATAATTCCTTATATCAAGTATATTTATGAGATATATGTAATAAAATGCTAATACACATGTGTTGCTACTAATCGGTTAATTAACCAACTAACAAGAGGGCAGGTCTAACAATTAATAAACCGCAATGATCACTCGATGCAATCGCCATACGTAATTACAAGGGAGCTAGTCGTTAGCGACGTAAGCGAGCATGCATTTCGCCGTTAATTTTATAATACTATATTGTGGATCGTAAAATAACTCATTTACTTTCTAGAAATAATGCGATAAATGTTAATAAAATCACATAGTGCTATTATGAATTTATTATATGTAATTGAAGCGTCTGTCGTTGTGTATATTATTTATCTATGTATATATAACCTAGTGAAGTAGTATGTGTCCAATAGTGTACACAAGTGTTCGCGGATTCTAATCTCGCTCTGGGCAAATATTTAAGTAATATATTTTGTATATTTATCAGAATTTGAGTGTATGTCTACTCTCTTGTTCATTGTCAGGGTAACCTATTGTAGCCGTTAAGCCCGTGTGTTGTAGTCATAAAATGGTGAAGACGTGTTATTTGCCATTTTGATGTGAATATTAACTCAAGTAATGGGTAAATAAATATGCTTTTGTAGAATAACAATAACATATAAAGCCTCATATAAAATCTTCTAACTACATAATAATATATAAAGGTAGTGCTATCATAACTAACACACGTTTAATAGTAACACTAGCGGATCAACCTCGCTTCGCTGGGGTTTGTCCCTAGTGAAAAACAAAGAAAAATCTATCCCACGGAAATACATTTTTCATCATTCCCGTACATTTTTCCGGGATAAAACGTAACCTATGTACTATTCCAGACTATAATCTATCTCTGTGCCCAATTTCATCAAGATCCTTTCAGCCGTTGGCTTGATTGAGTAACAAACATCCATCCAAACTTTCGCATATATAATATTAATGGGATTATTAGAAAGTAATGTTAGTTTCAGTTAAAGTTAATAAACATATCTATTGCTACTAAATTGTCCTTTCCAGAAGAAAATACATCACTGACATGTCTTGCCGAAAATTCGTAACAATACGAAACCTAATTGCGAAGTAACATGCTATCGTCGCCTGTCGGATTTCTGTAATCGTCCTATAAATATTCGGAATATTAGACTTTGCTAAGGAAATGGTTTATTCTTGAAGTAATAATATGAGTAAATCATATTTTGTGAATTTACCGAAAAATAGTAAAAATGAAAGCTTATGTATGAGACGACGCGCGACGTACTGTCTTGTTTATTCATATGTTTTAATATTTTTTTTCAATGAAGAGTGCCTAGAGATCTGTTAATATAAAAACTTAAACTTTAGTTTTAACTAAAAAGTTAAAATTCTCACGTACAGTAAAAATATTTTCTATTAGCGGCTCACTCCTCGCTTCGCTCTGGTTTGCCATTATAAGAACACAATCAAATCTATCCCACGGGAACAGTACATTTTTCCGGGATAAAAAGTAGCCTATGTGCTATTCTGATGTATGAGCTATATTATTGTAAAGTTTCTTTAAAATCCATTCAGTAGTTTTTGCGTGAAGAGTAACAAACATCTATAAGTATACAACCAGACATCCATACATCCTCACAAACTTTCGCATTCATAATATTAGTAGGATGAATAAAAAGATAACACGATTTTTTTATTACAACACAATACACGCATGTATACAATGATAAATTTTCCACAAAAAATCATTTGAAATTATAAGACGTCACGTACTGGCGGCACTGTTGCATCCTTTTACGATTAGACCATAAAATGTCCCTGCCTTATGGAAACGTATACCAATAACTTTCGCAGATGTATTTTATATAGAAAAAACGTAAGATTCTTTACGTGTACGTGTAATAAAAACGGGAATACTTACACTGAGTATTGATTGCGAGGAAAGATAAAGACATTCTGTGTCTGGGAATATTTAAAATAAGATAGCTGGTAGTGTCTTCCTAAAAATGGAGAGTACCAAAAAATTATTACGATGTAAATATCTTAGAGAGCTGGTAAAATACATAAATAAGTTCATGAAATCTAAATATTGTCACAGAGACCTACCCATTTATATACATACATCCTTCACATATAAAGCTTTAGTGACATTAGTACCCCTAATTAATATATAAGTAACATATCAACGACTCACCCTCGCTTTGCTAGGGTTTGTCCCTAGTTACGTTTTAACGTTTAGTATAGATTTATCAGAGATCAGATATTTTCCCGCAGTAAAATTATCCTATATATAGACCCAGGTAACCAGCTATCATCATACCAAATTTCATCAAAATCTGTTCAGTGGTTTTCTCGTGATGCGTTCACAGACAGACAGACAAACAGACAAAGATTCGGCCTTTGTTATAATAATGACTATTTCAATAAGATTTTCCAAAAAATATTTATATACAGATTCGACTCAGCTAGAATTTTATTATATGTATAGAAATTAGTATAGGTTGATCTTTGATAAGAGTCGCTTAAGATAAAATTAGGCATCGGTTGTGTCCGTTGATATGTAAAAGTAAGAGGAAACACCTGCGCACAGCTGGGCAATACGAATAGCTGGGTAACTACAAATTCACCCGTTTAAGTCCCGTTGTGTCATTATTATACAATTATGGAACGCGAAAATGAAAAAAAATTATTACATTCTCGCATTTATAATTGTAACTAGCAACCCATTCCTAGATAACTTTTTGCACATATCGCGAATTATTTTCATATTGTTATGATGATGAAGTAATATATTATACTAGTGGACCCGACAGACGTTGTCCTGTCTACACGTTTTTAATTTGAAAATTTCAAACTTTTTTTAATAATTTTTTTGATGAAAATTATTATTCAAATTGTGAATCTAAACCATTCTCAGATCCCCTTGGACACACACAAAAAATTTCATCAAAATCGGTCCAGTCGTTTGAGAGAAGTTCAGTGACATACACACTCACAGAAGAATTATATATATAAAGATTTATATATAAGATTTAATATTTTGTATTTCTGTTATCATTTAACCCAACAAGATCAATATAACAATAAAATATAAGAGTTTGATATACATAATATGTAGTATCGCAAACTTTTTTGCGTATTATAATATATTCCATATAC